ACAGACAACGTACCAGTAACATATCCTTACTTCTTTAGGTTAGGTACAGAACAGACAACATGCCGGTTACATGTCCTTCCTTCTTTAGTTTAACTAAAGAATAGACATCGTCCCAGTAACATATCCTTACTTCTTTAGGTTAGGTACAGAACAGACAACATGCCGGTTACATGTCCTTCATTCTTTAGTTTAACTAAAGAATAGACATCGTCCCAGTAACATATCCTTACTTCTTTAGGTTAGGTACAGAACAGACAACATGCCGGTTACATGTCCTTCATTCTTTAGTTTAACTAAAGAATAGACATCGTCCCAGTGACATATCCTTACTTCTTTAGGTTAGGTACAGATCAGACAACATGCCGGTAACATGTCCTTACTTTGTTTAGTTTAACTACAGAACAAACAATGTAACAGTAACACATATTCTTTCTGTTTCAGTTTAACTACAGAACAAACAATATACCAGTAACATGTCTATACTTCTTAAATTTAGGTTCAGAACAAACGCCAGCTTCTCACTTTCACGCTTGTGCATGACTCATGAAAATTCCAGCGTTGAAAATCCTTGGACGCCACTCAAAATAGATGAGCACTGAAAATCTCTATGACTCGGAAAAAAATGTTTTTTTCCATTCCACGAGTGTTTGTAGATATTTATTTTCAAATTGCTACATAATCACAAACTTAAGCCTTGAAATTATACACTTTGTTAACATAATTTTAGCTTGAAGTTGAAGTTTACATGTCTTAGATTCTGTTTGTTTAAGAAACAAAACAAGTAAAATATTTAATGTTACATGATAGTGTTGTAAAAGCAATGTAAAATAATGTAAATATTTAGAGACCACTAAAATTACAATATGTATTAAACATAATTAATAAAATAAACAACAACAAAATCTTTAATATAACATTTTAAATTAGTCTACTGGGGTGAGTTTAAAAATGTAAGCTTTGCTTAATGTAACAGATCATTAGTTCATCCAGGTATCATTAATTATAATGTTTTGTTTTTGTTGTTGTTTTGCTGTTTTTAGTGGTATTTTTGTATTTATGAACTACTGATTAAAGGGAAGACAGTCAATAACACCTATCCCCCACCATCTACGTTAAGCGATTGGTTGTCGCTCTTTTTTAAAGTGCACCCACAGCTAAAGGGCGCTGAACTTCTTCTTGGTCGGGCTTTAGGTCTTGTTTGAGAGACCTGGGAAGGTCAGGTGTAGTTGGAGACCTCTTCCTCCGGGATGGAGAATATTTCGTAACATCTCACAGAATCGAATCCGACGCGCCAATTCCAAGATCCAGAACTCTACAACAGAGCCAACCCGCGACCCGGCCTTATAAAGTTTGTCTCTGTGTGTGTGTTTTTTCTTATAGCCAAGCCACATCGGGCTATCTGCTGTGTCCACCGAGGGGAATCGAACCCCTAATTTTAGCGTTGTAAATCCGTAGACTTACTGCTGTTCTAGCGGGGGACTATAAAGTTTGAAAAGAAATGTAATTTTGAAAATCTTCATTTAAACTTATATTCAGAAAATGTTTCCTTATTATGATGAAAAGGTATCCGCCAAGTTTGTTTTTTTAATATTTTTGAGCTTTCATCAAATATATAAAAGTATATATGCGTGTTTTTTTTTTATGTTTTTAATTATGACAGAGGGGAGGTGATCTCATCTGCCCTCTATACTCAGAAACATTTACCCTGCTTCAGACAAATATCCATGCAGAATGTGTTTGCTGTTGAAGGTGGGAGCTTAGTAAGGTTTAAGGTTAGTGTCTTTAGATTTATTATACACGTTCAATAACAGTGACGCATAGGAAAAGGTAGCCTTGACTGTCTAATCAAGAACTTTCAAGTAAAAGGCTCGTAAGTTGCTTAACCCAGCAAACACTTGTAGTGGTATATTACTTTTTGTTATAACATGTAGTTTGAGACAGCTATTTGTGGGATAATTAATAATAATATATTGATTTCTGTACAACGTTTCGAGACGAAACTTTGTACAGAAATAAATTTACCGTATCAGTTTGGTACGGTTAGTGTTTGTTACTAACAAAAGTAACGGTAACACTGACAGTCAGTGAGACATGATCATGTTATTCATGTACAATATTTATGGATAACTCTAAAAGCAAATACTGTATACCATTGTAACGAGATGTGACTCTTATTTTCATAAACTTTGATAAAGTGTCCGTGACGTTTAACTCAAATATTTATTTGATCTATAGCAGTATCACATGGCTCGTGCGTAATCATGGTGCAGTCTGCGTTTTTTTTCTTCCGTAAAAACTATAAGAAATAAATTAATGCTGTTTAGAAAAGTAATATTAAACAAACTATGTAAATTAAATCATTTAAACACTGTTTGCAAGTGGAGTTATCAATCGATCTTTATTTAGAATTTACTATCATATTCTATTTTTAGCGTCGCGCTAACGTATTTAAATAACTCGCAGCCTGAGGTAGACGCCAGAGTGTACGTCGTGCATGAGAGTAATTGCAAGAGATGGAAACTGAAAGAAACAGAAAGAAATTTTATTTAATAATAATTGCCGTTTTAGTTGGCTGTGTTGTTATCTTAGGACCAAAATTAATATTTTCTTCAATACAATCAACATCGCTTTCAACAGTCAAAAACGACCGAAACGAAGGTAGGTCAAAGTTTTAGAAAAAAAAATTGTGACGAAAGATACAATTTAGAAACCGAATTATGAAATTAAAAGTAAGTTAAGAAAAAGTATGCTTTTGCCTAACGGTATGACAGTACTATATAAGTATTGGGTAAGTCTAATGAAATTCTTGAAATCACATTTTTGCATAAACCTTTTGCAAAAACTCTTCTCACTAGAAAAGTGAAATTATGGTGTACAAAATACAATTTTCAAATCTTTACATTACATATGTATTCCAAAATTTACATTTTTTTATCCAAGCTTCAATGAGGATAATAATTTGCTAATTTATGTCATCAAAATTAAATAATTAGAATATCCATATGACATAATAGTCTATTCTTTCTTCGTATTGTTAACACTAATATTTCTTAACTGTACTGAATGCTGTTTCATAATCCACACACTTTCATTTTTTGTCCTGGTAATGTTTTTATTTTCGATATCTACTAAGTTTATTTCAGAGTTTGAGTTTCAGGAAAACTGATTTATTTTAATGCCAATTAAAAATAAATACACACTGAAAAGCTTTTGAATTTTCATATAGATAACTCATAAATATATGATGACTATATAAAATAAATACCTACTAATCACTAGCTGTTAAAAGTGTTTTCCTTATTTTGATAAAAGTAATACTTTATAATCACTATGTTTTTGTGTTGTTTTTATTTTGCTAACAGTTCTAATACCATAGTAACTCACTGAGTTTTTCTCATTCTACTAACAGTTCTGATATATTAGTCACCATTTCACTGTTCAAGTTGTTTTCACACCTTGCTAACACTTCTGATACCTTGCAGCCACTGTTTCATTGTTCGAGTTGTTTTACACACCTTGTATAACACTTCTGATACCTTGCAGCCACTGTTGCACTGTTCGAGTTGTTTTCTTAATCTTGCTAATTCTTCTGATACCTTGCAGTCGATGTTTCTCTGCTCAAGTTTTCCTCATCTTGCTAACACTTCTGATACTTTAGTCACTATTTCATTGTGTGATATGATTTCTTCATTTCAATAACAATTCTATACCTTATAATCATTATAATTTGTTTTCCTAATTTTGTTAACAGTATTAATACCTTAGTCATTGTATTATTTTTCATTTTTCTAAAATTTGTTTGAGCTGTTTTCCTCATTTTCCTAGTAGTTCTGATATCTTAGTTACTATTTCACTGAGTTGTTCACCTTGCTAACATCTCTGATACACTATAGTCCCAGTTCCACTGTTTGAGCTGTTTTCCTAATTTTTCTAGTAGTTTTGACACCTTATAATCAACACCTTTTTTGTTTCTCCTAATTTTCTTAACAGTTGTGACACCTTAAAGTCACTGTTTCACTTGTTTCCATAATTTTGCTAATTGTTGATACCTTAGTCACTGTTTCACTTGTTTCCCTAATTTTGCGAATAGTTGTGATACCTTAGTTACTGTTTCACTTGTTTCCCTAATTTTTCTACTAGTTGTGATACCTTATCACTTTTTTATCAGTTATTTTCCTCATCTCTTACAAGGTACTTGTCTCAGTTTTCATACGATCTTGAGATACTTGTCTCAGTTTCATATTTTGCATGAGATGCTTGTTGTCTCAGTTTTTATATGATGCATGAGATACTTGTCTCAGATTTCATATGATTTTGAGATACTTGTCTCAGTTTCATATTTTGCATGAGGTACTTGTTTCAGTTTTCATGACTCATGAGAAACTTGTCTCAGTTTTCATGACTCATGAGAAACTTGTCTCAGTTTTCATGACTCATGAGAAACTTGTCTCAGTTTTCATGACTCATGAGACACTTGTCTCAGTTTCATGACTCATGAGACACTTGTCTCAGTTTCATGACTCATGAGACACTTGTCTCAGTTTTCATGACTCATGAGACACTTGTCTCAGTTTTCATGACTCATGAGACACTTGTCTCAGTTTTCATGACTCATGAGACACTTGTCTCAGTTTTCATGACTCATGAGATACTTGTCTGTTTTCATGACTCATGAGACACTTGTCCCAGTTTTCATATGATGCATGAGATACTTGTTGTCGCAGTTTTCATATGATGCATGAGATACTTGTTGTCCCAGTTTCATGACTCATGAGATACTTGTCTCAGTTTCATATTTTGCATGAGATACTTGTTGTCCCAGTTTCAGTTTTCATATGATGCATGAGATACTTGTTGTCTCAGTTTTTATGACGCATGAGATACTTGTCTCAGATTTCATAAGATTTTGAGATACTTGTCTCAGTTTCATATTTTGCATGAGGTCCTTGTCTCAGTTTTCATGACTCATGAGACACTTGTTGTCCCAGTTTTCATACGATGCATGAGATACTTGTCCCAGTTTTCATATGATGCATGAGATACTTGTTGTCCCAGTTTTCATATGATGCATAAGATACTTGTTGTCCCAGTTTTCATATGATGCATAAGATACTTGTTGTCCCAGTTTTCATATGATGCATGAGATACTTGTTGTCGCAGTTTTCATGATGCATGAGATACTTGTTGTCTCAGTTTTCATGACTCGTGAGATACTTGTTGTCCCAGTTTTCATATGATGCACGAGATACCTGTTGTCCCAGTTTTCGTATGATGCACGAGGTACTTGTCCCAGTTTTCATATGATGCACGAGGTACTTGTCCCAGTTTTCGTATGATGCACGAGGTACTTGTCCCAGTTTTCGTATGATGCACGAGGTACTTGTTGTCCCAGTTTTCATATGATGTACGAGGTACTTGTCCCAGTTTTCATATGATGCATGAGATACCTGTTGTCCCAGTTTTCGTATGATGCACGAGGTACTTGTTGTCCCAGTTTTCATATGATGCACGAGGTACTTGTTGTCCCAGTTTTCGTATGATGCACGAGGTACTTGTTGTCCCAGTTTTCGTATGATGCACGAGGTACTTGTTGTCCCAGTTTTCGTATGATGCACGAGGTACTTGTTGTCCCAGTTTTCATATGATGCATGAGGTACTTGTCCCAGTTTTCATATGATGCATGAGGTACTTGTCCCAGTTTTCATATGA